TTAGGCACCAATAGGAGGTGTCGGGGGAAAGAAACACTGCAGGGAAACAAAGTGAGGCCACAGATGAAAAGAACAAGAACTGAGGAGACATGATGCATCGGGAGTCTGCAGCACAAAGAAGATCAGAGTTCAAAATCTGAGCTCCTCTCACTCCTCAAAATGAGCTTTCATCGTTAAACAAGAAGAGGGAAAGCTTTTTAAATAACTCTTGAAACTCCTCTGTCCGTCTTAAGGCCCAGACAGACCGGGCCGATAGATGTCTGGCCGTCGATGTGCGTCGCGTCGCCCTACTCAGATTGGTGTGTCCCGCACCGTCGTGTCTTTTCGGGCGTGCCGACACCTTTTTGGCCGAAAACCTACCGATTCAACAACTAAATCCCTCTGATTGGCTGTTCAGCGAGCGAATCAGTGCATGAGAAGCGAAGCGGAAGTGAGGGACCCAAACAAATGATTAAGAAGCCACACACAGACGGCTATTGTTTTTCATTTTCATCTCAGCCGGACGCAAGAGTTTATTTTTCTAGCGTTAGCTTTTTGCTGTTAGCAGCTAGGTAGCATTTACTTCACAATCTACATAAACCTCTCTGTCAGTTATGTGCTTTCTTTGTGCGTCGATGCACTGAAAGAGTCCCTAATGTTTAACTTTATGACCGGGTATAGCTTCATTTCACCATACAGGTGTCATTACGTCTTCATTTTTCTTCATTAGGATGCCTCCATCAATCAAGTGTTTTTATTGTCGTAATGTCAGCGTTAGTATGAGTTTGTAATCCACCAGTTGTCACATGTGAGATCATAAAATACATTGTGCCAATCACAACAGCCGTTCTGTGTCATTAAACTGTAAGGTGAGTGATGACGGAGCACTGGCAGCGCGAAGGAGAGATTTATTACCGTGTAAACCTACGGAGATTTATTGATTTATGGCAGCAGATTTATTGATCACTGTATTTAGCATTCCTGTTAAATGTAATAGAAAATAAAGCTACTGCGGATTAGGAAATAAGATGTCAAAGATGATTAGGTGATAAGATTTCTTATTGTACGACTGACCTATTATTTAACTACAGATGTTCTGCTGTGCTCATTCGACTTCAAGCCTTTGGAAGAAAACATGTCAAATATGAACAGAACATTAAAAACTGTGTAAGGTAACGAGAAGCAGACGCAGGAAAGGTTGTGATTATTTTACGTGCTGCAGGTTTTACATGAAGGTACATATACTTTTTTTTTAACGCATACAAAATTGTCAATGTTTAATTTAAATAGATAAAAAAAGGAACATATTTTAAGAAATTGCAAATGATTGTCTGTCAAAACATCTTTATTTATATTTAGACATATTTAATTTTAAAACACATTTTATGGACAAATTCTCACCTTTACTGAAGTATGGTATTTCCATTTACCAAATTCGCCTTAAATTAGGTAAAGATTTACTTTACAATGATTTTAGTGTTAAACTACACAGTATGTAATCAATAAGAAGTTATCCTCATTCAGGAAGATACTAATTAAAAACTAAGATAACATAATGAATAAAAAGGGCAATTCTTTAGATGATATTATCATTAAAAGTGCATATTTGACATTTCTCGAAAATAATTATATCCTTGAACCAGACAAAAGTAGTGAGGTTAAAACTTTAAAATGAAATGAAAAACAGATATTTAATGTAGCTTTGAACCTTAAACTTATTGGTATTCTTTATTAGGATCCCCATTAGCACTATAGCATGAGCATTGGCTATTCTTCCTGGAACTTGCAGCATTAAAAGTGATTCTGTGTTTTCCACCCTCAGGTTTCCCAGTAAAGACATTAGCTCATTTGTTTAAAAAGGTAGCAGCAGGTTAAGATGAGGCCTCGTTAGCCGGCTCTTTTAAAAAACAATGAAAGCTGCTTGTTTAGCTGCAGCCATGCATGATTAAAGCCGGGGTGGAGGACGCCACATCCTGCAAATTAGCGCCTGATTTCCATCTCGGGGTTTGGACAGAGAAGACCCCGCGGCTCATCGCCAGCAGCCAACATAGCCGCCTCCAATTCAAAACCCTGCAGGCGGTGTTTTTACAGGCGAAGATTACCCAAATGTTCACTGCACGGTCTGTTTGTCCTCTGTGCAAAAGATCCACTGAGTTGAGTAAACACTACAATGTTTCTCAAGCTATACGGATTCAAGAAGTGCTATTTATAAGATGCATCACTTTGCTCAGATACTTTTTTTTACTGCTACTTATGATGATCTTAGAGAATATGGAAATACAGAGAAAGAGAATAAAATGAATTCAATCAGGAGACACGGTTTTGATGAAAGAATACATATTTATTGTAGAGATACACGAATGAATGTAATGGTGATTTTGGCGATAAGGTACCCGTTGTGCAGGAGTATCATTCGGGAGGGGAGAACCGATCCAATGAAACCCCCCGGGGTCTAGACCCTGGTGGTGGTGAATGGATAGTTGGGGTCGGTCTGAAGGGGAGGGGCTTAGCTTGACCCTGGTGGTGGTGAATGGATAGTTGGGGTCGGTCTGAAGGGGAGGGGCTTAGCTTGACCCTGGATCCAGAGGGACAGGAGGTGAAAAGGGGTGGAGGAGGGTTGCGTCGAGTCACCTGAAATGACAGCTGTCAGAAGGGAGAGCAGATTTAAAAGGTTTAGCGGAGTGCTATGATAGGCTTGTGAGTTGTGAGAATAGAGCGAAGTGATTGGTTAAGCTGGAGAGTGACGCCCCCGATCACTTATTGAGAGGAGAGAGAGTCGTAACATGGAAATAGCAAATGAATGAGAAAAGACGGCCTTCCTGGTTGAACTTGCGCTGAGCTTCATTTCTGTAATATCAATATAGTGAGGAATACAAAATAAATAAGTCAAAATGTGGAATATGAAGAGAAATAACAAATTGATATAAAAGTAAACAATATAATGTGGAAATCTAAAGAGAAATACAAATAATAAATAAGTTAAAAGTAAAAATTGTGGAAATGTAAAAAAAAAAAGGTAAATGAGGAAATATGAGAACGAATTAAAACAATTGCCAATTTAACTTTTTGTTTGTTAAAAACATTAAATAATTCAATATCAGAATCCAGTTATCAGAGTTGTTCTCCCTTTCCTTTTCCATTATTTATTTACATAAAAATGGAACTTTTTCTGCTCAGCTAGATCTGGTTAGATCTTATTTGGGGTGTTTTCTTCGATATTTTAACATTACAGTAATTTAAGACGTAGGCCTATGGTTCTTCCAGAAACAAGCTGAGTCAGCGTTAGCATTTAGCTTGTAGCCACTCTGAGCCACAAACTGCTATATTTAGCATTTTTTGTCTGTTTTATTCATCATGTCCGTTCGAAGAGAAGACCCTCTGTGGATAATTATGATTCCATAACAAACCTCCTGAACGATGATGTATCATAAGTTATTAAGAGAAAGAAGCATAGCAAACATTAGCATTAGCTCGTAGCTACTCTAACCTTTGTACACTAAAACTGCTTTATTTTTTATCAGTTTAACTCAGCACTTCCATCACTTTTGTGTTGTAGAGGAGGGAACCTGTGTGGGTAATTTCGCTCGTAAATATAATGAGTGTCTGGATCTTAAGTTAAGAAAGAAATAAGCTGAGCTAACGTTAGCCTTTAGCTTGTAGCAGCTTTCCATTGAGCTAACTGCAGCGAAGAAACACTGTCTTTAACCTAAAACTGCTTTATTTAGTAGGGTTTTTTTTCGTGTAAAAAGTCGGGTACATTTGTTTTGGGAAGTAGGAGACCTCTGTGGATAATTTGGCACAGGGTTAAAACTTCCTGAACAACTGCATCTTAAAAAGTAGGGGAAACAAGCTAAGAACATTTTAGGGAAAAACATCGATTTTTATTGGAACACTGGTTTATTCAGTGTTTTACCAGATTTAATCAGAGGAGAGGAGGAGACATCTTATATATACATATGTTTTATATGCATGATAATAATAGGAGAAGATGAATGCAATGATTTCTATGGTGGCAAAGACAACAAGGAAAAGATGGATTCCTAAACAAAACGCAGAGAGTCATTTTAACTTGGATATGAGCACCCTCACCGCTAATGGAGGCATTAACAGCGTTTACCATGCCGGCTGATTTACCCTTCATGTAAATGTGAAGAGCTGATTGGAACAGGCAGGGTAATAATGGCATACGTGTTTTACATGAAGTGCAATGAGGCAGTAAACTGCTTTGGGTTTGTCTCTCTGCTGCAGAGACAAAACATTTCTAATGATCACTCTGTGTTCGCTTCCTTCTCTGCCAGAACAAATGCTCCCACACAGATTATCACATATTAAAATGTGCAACAAGCTCTTTTTATTCTTCTTCTTCTGTCATTTTGTCAGGGACATAATGAGCAAATTCTTCTTCTGACTCTCAAGCTGCTCTCCTGCTGTGTGCTACTTCAATACAAATCCCAGTTTAATATAACCCGGGTTCTATTATCTTGAAACATGCCAATTTACTGCAATACAGTGCACACTTTCCATGCCTAATAAGGATTATAAGCATGCTATCTTGTACTTTGACATAAAAATAAGGGGGAATAGATAGTTGTTACAAATGCCTCGAAGTAAATCATTGAATATATGAGAGAATTATTAAACTGCGGTTAAAGTATTTTATGGCAGTTTAGTGTGACAACCGTCTGATGTCAGTCATCAGATTTTCCCCAAGAACAGCAGTTTAGTTTAATAACTTCCTGTTGCAAGTCAGCTGATTTTAATCATAAAACAACATTGAACACACATTGAAGAAGACATGGATAAAACCTGTGGACGTGTTTTACAAATGAAACTGAATTGTTTTCAGACAAGCAGCAGGTTCAAACTTAGAGAAAACTAAGTTTGGAAACATGTAAAAACACTAAATGACTGTCAGCTGAATGTCGAATCTGCATGTTGTAAAAGGGAAGTTAGCACATCCTGCCCCTAACATCATGTGACTCTAAGCTGACTCCTCATTCACTGCAGGAAGTGAACAAGAGCAGACGTAGCAGGGATTTGTTGTCCTTCGGAGCTTAAAGACTATCTGTTCAGAGATAGAAAAAGTAGTTGACAGTCGCTAACTCACTGAGAGAGGAAATGGCGCAACAAGAAATAATCAGCTGTTCGATCTGTCTGGATCTACTGAAAGAACCGGTGACTATTCCCTGTGGACACAACTACTGCATGAACTGTATTCAACGCCACTGGGATGAGAATCTAACCTACAGCTGCCCTGTGTGTAGACAGACCTTTGCACCAAGGCCTGTCCTGGTGAAAAACACTATGCTAGCAGACTTAGTGGAGGAGCTGAAGGAGACTGGTTCTGCTGATCACTGCTATGCTGGAGCTGAAGATGTGGGATGTGATTTCTGCACTGGGAGAAAACTGAAAGCTTTGAAGTCCTGTCTGCAGTGTGTGGCCTCTTACTGTGAGAAACACCTCCAGCCTCATTATGAATCTCCTGCCTTTAAGAAACACAAGCTGGTGGAGCCCTCCAAGAAGCTCCAGGAGAACATCTGCTCTCGTCACCACGAGGTGATGAAGATGTTCTGCCGTACTGATCAGAAGTGTATCTGTTATCTCTGCACTCAGGGTGAACATAAAGGTCACGACACGGTGTCAGCTGCAGCAGAAAGGACAGAGAGGCAGAGACAGATGAAGGGGAGTCAACAAAACATCCAGCAGGGAATCCAGGACAGAGAGAAGGAGGTGAAACTGCTTCGGCAGGAAGCAAAGGCCATCAATGGCTCTGCTGATAAAGCAGTGGATGAGAGTAAGAAGATGTTCACTGAGCTGAAGCAGCAGGTCAGATCCCAGCAGAAGAGTGAAGTGAGTCGAGTCAAAGAGCTTCAGGAGAAGCTGGAGCAGGAGATCTCTGAGCTGAAGAGGAGAGACGCTGAGCTGAAGAAGCTCTCTCACACAGAGGATAACAACCAGTTTCTGCTCAACTACCCCTCTCTGTTACCTCTCAGTGTTTCCAAACACTCATCCAGCATCAACATCCATCCTCTGCGCTACTTTGAGGACGTGACAGATGCTGTGTCAGAAATCAGAGATAGACAACAGGACGTCCTGAGGAAGACGTTGAACGACACCTCACTGATGGTGAGTGAAGTGGAAGTTGTACTGCCACCACCAGAGCCAAAGACCAGGGCTGAATTCCTAACATTTTCCTGTGAACTCGAATTTGATCAAATCACAAACATACAGGAATACACAGACGAATTCACTTTTTATAGACAGGCCCTGAGTACAGAGAGTCTGACTGGTCCTTGTTACTGGGAAGCGGAGTGGGACGGGAGGGGAATTTGTATAGGAGTTACATACAAGAACAGCAGCAGAGCAGGGGGTTGGGAGGAATGTTTGTTTGGATTCAATGATAGTTCATGGGGGTTATATTGTTTAAATGACAGTTATACCTTTTGGTACAACAACATCAAAACTCCCGTCGCAGTTCCTCAGTCCAACAAAGTAGGACTGTATCTGGATCACAGCGCAGGCGTTCTGTCCTTCTACAGCGTCACTGAAACCATGACTCTCCTCCACAGAGTCCAGACCGCATTCACTCAGCCTCTCTATGCTGGAGCTATGTTTTAATTACAGTTCTATTGGAGACACTGCTGATTTCTGCAAACTCAAATAATCATTTAAAAGGGCCATATGTTGTTCATTTTCAGGTTCATATTAGTATTTGTTTCCTTTACTGGGACATGTCTCCATGCTTTAATGTTCAAAAAGCTCTTTATTTTTCTCAGACTGCCTGTGCTGCAGCACCACCTCTGTCTGAAACCCAGTGGCGGCACCAGAGTATTTTTGTTGGGTAATCTATGGTAGGTCTAACCCATACAGTGGTGGGGTTCAAGTCAGTATTTGCAATGTAATTACATACACACTAGATCGCCCCCTTGACAGTGAAACGCCACGCGTGAGGTTTAGATTATTTCCCTGTCTCAATCAGAATGGAACTGTATGAAATAAAACGGCACATTTGTCTTGTAGTAAATAAAAAGGGATCACTGTGAACGTGACGTATGATAGTACACGTTGAAGATCCAATAGGGATACTGAATGGCGGTTCCGACTGATCTCAATCAGTAATGCATGACGCAGACCCAACGTTTCGTTGCTCTGATTGGCTGACTCTATTCAAATTGCATTCGGAGGCATTTTGATCCGTCCGCGGCCACGCTGATATTATAAGTAAGGGATAATGTGCAGCGAGGCGGTCATTATGGGGAAAAGAACACCCGACAGGCAGATCAGGATCCCGACGCGTAGCGGAGGGATCTTGATCTGCATGAAGGGTGTTATTTTCCCCATAATGACCAAGTCGCTGCACATTATCCCGCTTATTACATGACCACATTCTCAACAAAGTAACGACATGACTCCCAATATTAATTGAAATGCTTTTATGGATTTAGAAAATGTTTTTATTGATTTAAAAAATAGTTGTAAAAACGTAGCAACGGCAGGAAGGCGGAGCTTTTTGATTACAGATTTGAAAACATCGTTGCTTGCTTTAAAAGTAGCACAATTCATGATGTCAGACCTTGCAAAGTATCTAGATATCCCTGCCCTAATGCCAAAGTAACTGCACACTGAATATGTTTTGCCGTTTGATGTCTATGTCTGGACCGCTGCGTAAAAAGGAGGGTTTCTGCCCGTTACTTCTCCGCTGTTTTCTTGTCGCTCTTGTCTTGTCAGTTCGAAAAGCCAAACTGTATACACAGTTAAATCGAACAGACTTGTTTGTGCATATGTGAGCGTCCTTAACAACGGTCAATAAATCCTTGACAGCGGTCTGTCTGTTCTGGATTAACAACGTGTCACGTGTTCTGAATTGACAAATTAGAATCAAGTATTCAACTAAGCCATGTAATAACGGCAGATAATTTACACACCTTTAGTGTATAAAACTCCCCCACTACTTAGACTATTTCTTGCACCCCTCTTCTAGCATAAGCCTGAATGGTCTAATGAATCCATATTGCATCAGTAACGTGCACTTGTTGTTACAGCAGGATCAGTTTGTGTGTTGTGGACACGACCCGTATATTTTCGCAAGCCGTGTTCTCAACATTTAGCATTTTGCTTATTATTTAATTGAATTTGCTTACTTTAACATCACTTTTCATGGTGGGGCTAAGCCATTTCTTGGTATGGCTGTAGCCTACCCCAGCCATACCCTGGCGCCGCCACTGCTGAAACCAGAGTCCAGTCTGCTCTGATTGGTTAGCTGGCCGGCTCTGTTGTGATTGGTCAACCGCTCAGAGATGTCCCGCCCCTTAGCCTATCACGTACAATCTGTTGGAGTGCTAGCCAATAGAAGCGCAAACTAAAGAAACTCCCTGCAGACCATTGACATGCACACAAACCTATATGACACACTGGAGGAAAGAGAAACACCAAAAAGCATAATAAGGCCTCATTAACCCTTGAACTCATTTATCTCAATGTTTGCCGCTGACAGCTGATTGTTGTGGCATTTCTTCAGATATCAATCAAACATTATGGGCTGTACTTTGACATATTGTCTTAAATTGGTATGTTGTAAATGTTAGACTTTATTTAGTGTCAGCTATCACTGCTCATGATTATGTTTGTTTCTCTGCATGAATATCTACATTTCTTTATGCTCTAAAATATTGATAAAAATGGGTTTTCATGTATTTCTATGTTGCTGACCCTCTTCCACTGCATGGGTCTTAAGAGAAGAACTAGCAGAACTACTTCCTGGACACTTTGCTCTGTTTGTGTGCATTTTTTAAAGACATATTCAATTACAATAGGCGCTTTCACACTGGAGTAATTTTCCCAGTATGGTTCCGATAAAGTTCAGAAAATGTGCGTTCACACCAAAAAAATCCGGAACTAGAACTTAGTTCATGAACCTTTTCACCCCCTTTTCAGTCCCTGCTGGAGAGCAGGTACTGTCATGGGAGAAAAAGGTTCCCATTTCTGATTGGCTGGGTGGATTGCAAACCGCGCCCCGTAAAACTCCCAAAACGTTTTGTGAAGCCGCCATTTGATTTGCTTGCATTAGCATTATTAGCATTAGCATTAGCCCAGCGCACCAACGCAGAGAGACTAACTTATGGCAACACAAAAAAAACATGGGAGCGGTGGAGATGAGGAGGTGTCGGCGTTCTGGCGATTTACTCTGAAGGCTTCAGTAGAAGCTGTTGGGAGTCCCAGCAGCTTCTACTGAAGCCTTCCCCAACTCCGGGGACTTCCGGCCGGGGACTGCGGGTGGCAGTATACACCGTGAAGTGGTTTGCGGCCTGCCAGTAAACCCAAAGCAGAAGAAGAAGAAGTGACGTCAGCGGCTTCATTTGCCTAATCCTCCCTCAGGGACTTTTTCCGGTGTGAACGCGATCTGTACTTAGTTCATGAGAACTATAGAGTTCTCATGAACTAAGTACGGCAAAGTACTTGGTGTGAAAGCGCCTAATGTGTTGTTGTTGTTGTTGTTGTGAAATATCATAGATCTGTAAATATCATGATTATATTAATCAGTAATGAATGATTCATTATGTTATTTTACATAGCGGAGATTCTGCTGTAACAAAGTGATTGTGTTGATGAAATCATTAAACCAGTGATAAGAAATAAAAACATTTAACAAAGTTGAGTTTCTCCTTCCTGATTACAATTTGCAATTCTTCTGTATATCTGTAAATTATATACTATCATATGTATATACAGTATATTATAAGCATATATTCCTGCTACTGCAACATTTTTTTACATTTTTAACCCTCTTGTTGTGTTCGTTTCCCCCCCCTTACTTTGTCAAATTTGACCGGTCCTGTTTTAACTGCTATTACATTAACACAAAAACCATTAATCATCACCACATGTCATTGAACACCCTTTCAAACTGTACATATTGTATCAGACTACTGGTATACATGAACAACTGCAGTAACTATACAAAGAATAGACACTGAACATGTATTGTGTGTGCCAGGTGTGATCCATGTGGGGGGATGGGCACATAAGGGGGGACACACATCTAATGTGTGTGTGTGTGTGTGTGTGTGTGTGTGTGTGTGTGTGTGTGTGTGTGTGTGTGTGTGTGTGTGTGTGTGTGTGTGTGTGTGTGTGTGTGTGTGTGTGTGTGTGTGTGTGTGTGTGTGTGTGTGTTTTATCTGATCCGGATGGTTACTAATTCCTTTTCTTTATGGCGGTCATGTGACCAGGAACACCATGGTGTTTCAAAGTTGACTAAATCATCCTAAACTCAATGAAAGTGGTGATCAGTAATGTTATATGTTCAAATGTCTCTGTGAAGGATATCATAAAGCTTTGATGCAGTCGAATGTAAAACTAAAAAGTTATGATTGATGAAAGCAGTAAATCGGTCAGATGTAACCCGAAGACAACAGGAGGGTTAAAGAACATTTTAATTATCCAGAATTGTGTATATTGTTTATATTTGATATACTATTTTTCATTTTCATTTTACATTTAATTGTTGACTATTTTCCACTTTTTAAGTATTTGTTTTTTAATGTTGAGCACACTGGTCCTGTAACAAAATAATTTCCCAATTTGGGATGAATAAAGTATATTATATAATCTAACCTTTATCCAATGTTGATATTTCTGTTCTGCAAATGGATGCAAATAGGCACATATTTAGTCAAATAATCCCTCATTTGCATATTCAAACACAACATTACAGCAAACTTGTAATACAAAAAAGAATTGTCTTAATGTTAGTAATCAACTAGGAAAGTTTCATGATGATATCTAAAAGTTAAAGATGTTATCCTATTCCCCTGTAGTGTTTTTAAGAGGCACTGAACCTCAAATCCATCTCCATGTGCAGCGTTCTCTCAGCTTGCATCTCTCTGCTCACACGGTATAATAATAGTTCACATTTGGTGAGAATTGCACGGAGAGCCTCTGAAGGAAGCTGACTGTGGCTGTGAGTACAGAAACCTCTTGCCAGCACAAGACAGTCGGTGTTAGTTTTAAAGCGTTGGTTTAAAAGTTGTAATCGTAAGCATATGCACGGCAATCTGTTGTGTTATTTATTGGTGCGCTAATCACCGAGCACACCAACATTTTCTCTCCCTTTGCCCGTCTACGAGGCACTCGCATGAATCTGGAAGGATTTCACAAGTAATACTTCATAGGCTAATCTCACTCCATGACTCTAATTAACGCATCATTAAAAGCATAATTCAGATAATTATAATTTCTCACTTTTTAAATGAGGAGACGGGGAAGGGTGTCTGAGGAGCCAATTTAGTGAGTGAAACAGATTCTGAGGCGAGCGGGTGGGTGGAGAGAGAGGCAGGAAACAAACAGCGGCACACAAAAACACGGCAGCCGTTAACGTTTGTGTGAGGGGAAGTGAGACATGTTCAATCACATCAAAACACGTGACCTGGATATATGCCCACCTGAGGAAAACACAAGACACACAAGCAGGGTTCATCCTGGAGAGGCCAGGATGAACCGTAACGGGTAGTTTTGGTGGGAATTTGAGGTCAAAATGTACAGAATTAGTCATTTTGACTCCGCTTGATATTTTGTTAGGCATTTAGAGGTTATATTTACCTTGTGTAGCCCCCCGCCTACACAACACGTAACCTGGATATATGCCCACCTGAGGAAAAGCAAGGTGTATTCTGGAGAGGCCGGGTATTGTGATGGTAATTTGAGGTCAAACTTTTACAGAAATAGGTA